TCACCGTCACGCTCTTAGCAAAATTTTTTCTTTGTTTCAGTTTATAGCGTTTTATGCATCCTCATTTTGCAGCAAATCGGCATATTAAAGATATCGACAAAACTATATGAATATTTGCAATTATGAAATAGACTACGGATTGATATCACTTGCACTTTCGTACGAAAATGAGTCGTATATTATTCAAACAGATTCCCCATACTCGTGTTTTTGCGATACATCTGAATTTCATGAACAATGTCTTTCTTTGTTTGAAAAATAGCGAAGCTCATAAAAAGAACGATTTCCTATTAAAAACGTCGAAAATGTCGCAATGATGTATACTAAAATGGGTTACCATGATATTTACATTGTCTCTATAAATAAAAAACCATTAATTTATAACATTAAAAAAAGACACATTATTGGCAAGATTCAAATGTAAAAAGAGCACCAAAAAAATTATTTTGAATAATATGTGACTCATTCTCTATAAGTTTTGTCTACCTATGTGCGAGATTATAAAAGCGGAAAAAATTTGGTATTGATCGTTAGTCGCCCTTTCCGTCCCTAGAGCGTATCCCTAGAGCAGCGATCTTATTTCTCTCTCATCTTCAACGTCGCCAAACAATAGCCGTCATAAATCTACGTTATTTCCCAACTGCGTATTCGATGTCTCGAAAGCTTTTTTATTTTATCGAAGAATAAACTCTCGTCTCCCTCCGAACATCAAATACAAACTACGAATGGTGTAACTCGTAATTCACCGCAAATGAACGAAGAAATATCACGAGGAAAGTACTCCAATTTCGTTTCTCTAAGACGTAAATAACTACACAAAGACGCAGATAAATAAAAGAGAGAAAGAGAAAAAAAGTAAATATGCGGTTAGAATGGTTAAATTATTAAAATTACCGTATGCGATTTGTGCTCGCGTGAGACACATTTCGACTGATGATATGTTTCATCCAAGTCGGAAATGCGTACCGCAAAAGGGTGGCACAAGGTTACACAGCACCGTTCTACATTTTGGCGTTATCATGTTCAATAACAAGAACTGCATGATAAAGGAAATTTGCATTTTTTTCAAACAGTTGCAACGTGAAATTTGCTTAATTTGAACAAGAAATTTACATTATAGTAAACTTTACAATTATATATGTTTATTATATGTGCTTTAAATAAAGAATTTATTATTTTCATTTTGACAAATTATCGCAAAGTTACCAAAGTGCCATTATGCCATGAATTATTAAGTTGCATTTATGGATTCTTAATCCATTTTTTTTCGTAAAGATTTGATTGAAATGGTTCTTTCAAAGAAATCAATCGAAAGAAACGTAATGTACGCATACGCAAAAAATCAAGAATTTCCGGCATATCTGTCTTAATTCTACACGTCATATTATAGAGTTGTAACAGTAACATCGAAATTAGCTCGTCATAGTATTATGTACGTAACGGTATATAATATTAAAATAAATTAAAAGTGTATTTAATAAAATTATTATTAAATTAAGAATTAAAATTTTTACAATACTATATAGCATGCATACTTATTTTGTTGATGCCAGATTTCTATTCAAAGAATTTCAATAATGTATTCTATGAGGCAAACAATGAGGCAATAATCCTACACTTTTCTCACAAAGTTGTCCTTTTTTGCTACGCTCAATGTGCAGCACGTGGTGCAGGTGCAATGTAAGCTTCGTTACATCAATAATTGAGTTGCTACGGAGTATATAAACACGAAGCTTTATTTTCAAAGTGCATATAAATAGAGAAAACTTCTGTATAATTTATCATTGTATCATGATTGATATGTACAGACGATTATAACAAGTAAAAAAACTTTAACACTTTGAGACACTTTGAATAATTTGAATAATTGACACCAGTAAGTAATACTATAAATAATTATGTATTATATAAAAATTTCATATTTTCCAATTTTACATAATTAATTATACGAAATTAAAATTTTATAAGTATTGCAATAAATTTACAAGTTTAATATTAATATTGAGTAATCTTTAAGGAAATCAAATATTTCATTCAAATCTAGATTAAAAAAATTGTTTGCCTCATAGAATACATTATTGAAATTCTTTGAATAGAAATCTAGCATCAACAAAATAAGTATGCATGCTATATAGTATTGTAAAAATTTTAATTCTTAATTTAATAATAATTTTATTAAATACACTTTTAATTTATTTTAATATTATATATCGATAACTTTGAGTGTCTACAAGATTAATAACTTAAAGAATTGAAATTTTTGGAAATCATCATAACGAAATATCCAAAATAGCGATTTTAAATTTGATTTAAAAGATATATTTTATTTTATATCATAATTTATATGTTTCTTATGGTTTATTATAACTCAAATATAAAGACAAAGAACATCTCACAATATTATTAACGTTACATAAGTACCCGGAAATATACGCGAAAAACTGACACATTAACCTTCCATTTCGTGATGATAACCCAAAGGACGATCCCTAACTATAGATAAAAACAGTAATGCCGTTCGGTGAGCCGTAAGTCAATATTTACATTTCTTAGCAATATTTAAAAAACATACTTTTTTGCGTTTACACAGGTAATAATATATGTAAATAATTCAGCTACTTCATTTTATTAATTTTATTTTGTAAAAAAAAAGGATGCATCTTTTACCATGGTAAATTCACACATAACATAATTGCTTGGTAAATACAAGCGAAGCAGGCGATATTAATGCTTCCGGTTTTATATAAAGTGACCAATTTCTTTCAAGTGTCACTAAATGCTTTTGACAAAGGTACGTATTGTATATAGAATCCATTGCGTAATGACATATTTATTCCTCTCTTTCTCTGTCTCTCTCTCTCTCTCTGTCTCACGCACCCTAATATGTTATTTAGTGCTGAGGGATGACGGTAGGATATCACCTGGCACAGCAACCCTAGTATATTTTCTTTCACTCGACGGTAACGCCATAAAACGACCCTGATATTAATATCTACATTCCTTCCCTATCCTTCAATATACTGTTATGGATCTAATTTTAAAAAAAGCTAAAAAGCAATATCATCGTGATAACACATATTTTTTGAATGTATACATCAGAAACATACTTGACAGTCAAATTGAATATTGAATTAAATATTGAAATTACACGAATTATATCAGTAGTTAAGTCACGAAATGTTGAATATCTTTTTGAGAAAAAAAAGCAATTTCTAGAAGCTTATCCTATAGATCTTTGGCTTGATTAATGTAGCATAATCTACATAATCTATATAATTTATATTTAATATAATCTTTTGCTAAAAAAATCGATTTTAAGATCAATTCCGAGTAAGATAAACTTGAAAATTTAAGAAGCTTTAAAAAAATTGTGTGCTTTAATGCAGATTCCTACTCTAGATAAAGGATAGAACGTGAATATTGATCAGACGGTAGTAGAAAATGTCAGTATGAGGTCCGCCATCTGTGCGCATCAAACTTAAGCTAAGCGAATTATAAAATCATCTATCTATATGAACAATCGTAAAAGTAATAAAAATTTATGTGTTTCTTCATTGCGTACCTCTATTACGCGTATCTCTAACTTTTGATGTTTATCACTTAATAAGAATTCAGAATTTCTAGTATATACTCGCTAAATGTCACGAAATGATTAATTGTTGAAAAATATATGTTCTTTCTAATTAAGAATGCCTTGTAAAAAAAAGATATAATCAGTAGATGTCATAATTATCAATTATCAACATGTACATCATAATAAAAATATTGCATCTTGTATGTGAGTGTGTGCGTGTACACATACATATATACACACACACACACACATATTTTTTTATTTAGAACATAAATAAGTATAATGTAAATTTAAAAATACTCACATATATAATATTATACTTATTTATTATATAAATATAGTGTATTAATATTTCTTTCTTCAACTTTTTATGATAAATTTCGATAGGTAATTGCAAAAAGCTTTATCCACGTGGCAGTAAAGCTTTATTATTTATCAACGTACACCGAAGAATACTCCGGGGAAGCATAAAGCGCTTCGCATACGGACGGAGATATTTCGTCCGTCATATAAATTTCTAATAAACAATCGCGCTTTCCTCGCTATAGCACCAACCGTAAACCGTGATCCGAGAACGTATTGCTCAGGTACGTATGGATTTATTATTGTATCCAACTTCGAATTACGATGTCGTAACTTCTTTCACTTCTTCTTTGCCTCCGTGAGTTTAAGTTATGTAATAAGAACATTACTACAAAAGTAGATATAAATTTTCTTGAAAGCATTTCCTCGGTTTCTTTAACTTATTTGTAAACGTACAGTTTTTTGCAATTTTTTATTCATTTGACTTTCCGAAATAGTAGGGCAGGGGGGGGGAATTTTTAATTATCTTCATTATTACTGATTATGATAAAGATTAAATTAAACACCCGCTTTATTTTGGATACGATTAATTTTTAAAGATTACGCATATATTACCCATACTATATATATATATATACATATATATATATATATATCAGATCTCTGATGGAGAAAGAAATTTTGGAACTGCCATCAATCTTTCTTGAGACATTATATTAATAATATTTATTAAGTGACACAAGATTGATGCTGTAGTGCCGTCAAGTGCGTTAATCCGCCTTTGACATATCGAGGAGAGCGTGGAGAATAGCTGATAAGGCGAGCGAATGGGGTATGTACAATTTTGAACTCTATTCATTTCATTTTATGTTAAATCTATTATAGCTATTGAGTATAGAATATCAGATAAACGCAATTGTAAGATAAAAAATAAGTGAAATGCGAATACAGTTCTTAATAAAAATGCATCTACAGGAATTTCGTTTAGTCAATTTTTTCTGGCATAACTATAATCCTTACGAATAAGTTGCCATATCGAATAATGTGTGCGATGTGCTGCCAAGTGTTTTATTAGAAAGCTGTACTAAATTGCATGCAGATACAAAACATTGTAATTACTTACACAGAGAAGTGGTACAGGAAGCACTTCCAGCCGGTAGGACGTTCCAGGAAGTTGTAAACTTGACCCTGGAAGGTGGCTTTCCCAGCACGTCGATGTTCCTTGACGTGATAGCGACCTTCCCAAGTATTGCGATCACCACCGGTTCCCAACAATAGTCTTGGATCGACACCTGAAAATTATAAATTTTACATTTTTATGAAATTTGTGATAAAATTACAAACAAATCGCGATGTAATAATTACCAATTATGTTATAATATTCAGTATGCAATTTGATTTAAATTCGTCCAAAAGTATAGCTATTGTGCGTATTCAATAGTAATTACTATAAGAATAGAAATGTTCCTTTCGATTAAATTATTAAAAATTGTAATTTCCTAAATATAAATTATAGTTTTTAACAATTACATTAATATTTTTAAGACAGAAATTTGTCACAATAGATATTCTATATTTATATTATAACTTTATACAACTAAATGATTATAGTAAATAACATCTTTGAAACACAAGACGTTAATGAAAATCGTCTCGCTTTTTATGCGTCTATTTTTAGTGTACTCTGACTTCGCGTTTTCTCTCATCAATCCTTAATAAACTGACTGTAACCAAAAACTCCCTGCTGAAACACTTCCGGTTACAGGATATGACGTCAGCAAATTGTCAAGCGGAGAACGAAAACGGTTCGATAGTCAATATTTACTTAAAGACTATATTCCGCGGACTTCCAAAAAATTGTAATTAATGATATCGTATCATCGTATATTTATCGTATACATTGCGCAATTTGTCAAATATAGATGAATAAAAATATATTATTTGTACGTAAAAATGGCACCAAATTTTTAATCTATTCATCAATTTATAATATTTATAAAACTCATAAATGCAGCATATTTTATTATTTTTAAGTTATTGCAATAATAAAATTAAATACAAGAAAATAAAGAAATATGCATAATTTTCTTTATTGCATTGTACACTGCTATAATAAAAATCGTAACGCTATTCAATTATTATACATATATTAGCAAAGCTTGATTTAATAAGATTAATTTCCAATTATATCAGTAATATCGATATGAAATTTTGTGGTCGGCTATTACATTTTTCATATGCGGTTTCACATTGTGGTCAATTTCCAACCCCTGAATTAACAGCTGGCGTATAATGCGCTGTCAGTTGATCAGAATATTCGTGCGAATAATGTGAATATGTTTAAAGAGGAAATTGTGAATTAATAAACTTGGAATAAATGAATTTTATGCATTTTCATGATGTGGTGTAAATATTTTGCACATGACATTTATTTACAAAAAATAAGAGCATATTTTTGTTTACTTTATTATACATTTTATTATGTTGTCTACAACTATTATATATTTAATTAATAAAACATAAAAATTCATAAATTTAATAAATAAATAAAAATTTACACGTTAAAAAAATTGAAATGTTCTAATATTAATAGTATAACCAAAATTTGAGAACAAAGATTCAAACGTTCATCGCCACCGATTTCCGAGTATAATGAAAATCGTAAAAAACTTCCTTATATCAAGATTCCTTATATCAAGAAAAATCGGTGATACTTTGCCAGGTATCGGCAATTTTTTAAGCGCGAATATAATATAGTAATATATTGTTTTTCTCACCTCCAACCGAAGTGTCATTGTTGTCAGACTGCAAGGTAGCACTGGTGTCAGATAGGGGCGACGGGGCTGGTCTTAAATCCGATGGCGGCTCCAATCTCAGTAAATCACTTCCGCCGTCTCCACCTCCTCCATTTCCTCTGCCAACCTGTACAATTGTCACATTCAGAGGTCCCCGGTTACCTACCGTAAAACAAAAAGAAAGAAAGAGAGGAATATACTATGAATCAGCTGGTTAAAAATAAATAATCGAATGCAAAAAGGAGGTGACTTTCTTTACATTAATTATATTACTTCTATTAATTACGCGCGTTACCGATCCATCTTGTTGCGCAAAATTATTATTAGAAAGCAACGACCGAGAGGTGAAAACGCGGAGGTAGACACCAACACTTCGCAGGAATGTCACTAAGTGGTAATTAACCCTCGTGTCATTTTCATCACTTTCGAATAAGCCGAGCTAAAATTGAAACCGTTTAACCAAATCTCTCTTCCTTAACCGCAATTCGTTTTCAGGATAATTTGATGCACAATCAACGGTATGACATTTATTGAGTTAATAGTTTCTCTTATAAAGCGTAAAGGTGGCCTGCTTTAACCCTAAAGAAAACATAATTTGTCATCATATTTTATTGCATAGAAAGAATAAGCTAAGCGAAAAACGCGGCGTATGGTTATTGCTCGTAATCAGCAAATAAATATAATTTTTAATTATGTTTCTTCTTTAATTCATTTATAACGTATACATCCCGAAACTATTTATATATATATATATTTTTTTTTTATAAATTATTTTATAAATAAAATACCATATTTTTTATTTATATTATATAAATAAAATATAAAGCTACAATAAAACTACTGTTAAGACAAATTTATTAAAGGGCTAGTAAAGCACATTCAAAGATATTCTGTCATAAAATCTATCATAATATATTGTGATTCTATTCTGTCGTGATTTCAATAGCTGTGTTTTATAACAAAGAAAATTTGCAATATATAATATATTGTCAAGAAACAAATTGGGAAAGCAGGTAATATATGTATAAATATATGTTTAAAGCAGTGTCTAATATACTTTATGTCAATACAACAATGTCCTAATATAAGTACTTTATATACTTTGCCCTTTAAGCGGCCTTGATAAAAACTGAATTTGATACCCGAGTTTTTTTAGGCGAACTACTGGCTGGGGTATCGTAAACCGTTGCGATCTTTACACATGTGGCCACAGTAATAAAGAGAAACGTTGAAATTTTATGATTTTAGACTGGCACTCGTAAAACTGGAATTTCCATGAATTTCCGTGAATTATATGTGCGGTTTCGGCCATTGGCGGAATTCAGGTCGGATTTTCATAGAAGTTCAATAGCAGACGAGTTAAGTCATTCCGAGGCATTTTAATACGTCTATAATACATATATTATACGTCTATACAACGCAGGAACTCGCGCGCATACGCGTTCTATATAATCTGCCCATAATCCTCTGCCGAGCGAGCAAGGCTAAACCTTTGTTGCAGCTCTTCTCCCACCTTTCATTAAGCCTACAGCATTTTAACGGTGGACAATGCAATATTCTCATTGTGTACAAGCGCAATGAAAAATTAATATCCATCGCTATGTTTATATTGCAGGAAAATATCCTTAAACGAGAAAATTACTTTCTATGGAAACTCGATGCACATTTATAATCCGGGACAATCTATTAAAATGAAAAAAAAAATCGTATTATGGCTATATAAATTAAAAAATATTTTTATCAGCAAAATTTATAACAACAGAAAGTGCAAGATGTCATTATTAATTGAAAATTCGTGATTTCAATTTTAATAATCAGAAAGATAAGTAAAATATAACTAAAGAAATTTAGATAAAAGAACTTTAGATTAAGAAATTGTAGGTGAGAAAAAAGCTGGAGAGAGTAATAAACTCACTGGACTGTGTTACGCTGAAAATACATATTTTTTCTTAAATGTAATTATGCATTTTTGATGTACCAATAGATTCTCATTGTTCTACACATACAAAAATTAAAAAAGATTATCAGAAATATCTAAATAAAATATACTATAAAATATGCATAATTTCTCTTAAAATTATTTCCAAAATTTTATTTCCAAAAACTAAAATATTTGGGATAATTGAAATCGTCTATACGATATACAATATGATATATTTGAGCACTTGCTCACTCTCAAGGACTCTTTAAAATACCGCGCATAAATTGTAATCTTCCTGCTTATTTTGTGTCTCCACTTTGAGGATAATCTCTGAGGACAAAAAAAACATCGTGTTACAAAAAGACAACTCACCTATTCTGGAGGGTGGAAGTAACAGCCCTTGAGCCTCCTCGAGTGGCATGGCGTGATCTCGGTAATGATGGGGGCGGTCTCTCATATTTTCTGCCGGCTGCAACGGTCGCGCGTGCTTTCACGATGTTCCTCGCCAAATAGCGGCAATCGTCGGAGACCGGAAGCAGGAAGCTGGGTGAGTCCGGAGGGACTCCTGCTGATGACGGCGGACGGTGATTGAGCGTCATCGCCCCGCCGTCACAACTAAAACCATGCCCAGGTCACCAAGATCGCACGATTCTCCAGCTTGCGTCAGGGCCTCGTCGATTGCCTTGTCTACTTTCGCCCTATCGAAAAAAAAAATCTCTCATCATAGATGGAATAATGTCGAAACATATAAAGCATTTTGGTGTGTGCAACAAAGTGTGATAAAATAATGTCTCAAAAAATACCAACAAAAAATATTTAATATAAAAGCTGTAGGGCTTCTTAAAAAGCACATTTGTAACCACGATACATTGTTCACAAATAGTGCCATTCATAAATGGCATAACGATTTTTTGCTAAATAAGACACTTGACTTTTCTTAAAAACTTTTATTAAAATCTTAAATTTGGAACATAAAAAAATTAATACTTTACATGCCACATATGTGGCTTAAACAATTGAGTAATATAAATTAAATATCATAAGATTCGAAAATAATACATATATCCAAGCCTTCCCTTCCTATCGAAAAATCGAGAAATTAATTTCGTTACGCTAAACAATGAAACGTCATAATTAGCTCTTTCATTCGAATTACAATGAAACACGAGAGAACAAAGAAACCTCTTCTCTGCTTAAATTGCCTGGTTTGCCATTTATCTGGGTTTACATGTGCTCAAGTTTCGTGGTCGATGTACTCCGGCTATTCATAACGGAATACACGGTATTGTTTGCAGGTATTGTTACCAAAGTAACGGACCAAAGCGATATATTAGTAACAATAAATTTATAAAACTTTTCTTATTCTTCTTTATTAAAGGTTTATACCGATTACATATAACCCTGCCAACCTTCTACCTTGCAAAACGCAACTATTTATAAAAAACAACTATTTATAAAAAAAAAGATTGAAGATAATTTAGAATTGCGTAGTTTCTTCAACAAATGCATAAATTTCCGTCTGATAAGAAATGTTTTCGTATACTACATTAATTCGCTCGAATATGCAGAATTGTTCAATTTTCCAGTTCTCTCTGTTGTAGAAGCCTCATATTTTATACTCTCTGCAATGCCCGCGTTACAGACACGCAGACATTAAAGTACGCGCGCGTACCCTCGGTGTTTGCTTACGGCACACATATGTGCGTGTAATATTGTAGATCGATAGTCGACGTGTCTCGGTTAGTAGGTCTAGTTCGTAAGAATTATATAGTTGTCGTATAGACATGCGATTTGCAGCTCGATTGTGCTTCCTAACTGCGACAACGACATTATCGCGTTGCACATGATATCTGTTATATTATTGTCCTTCTCTCTCTTTTTTGTACAATTCTCTCTGCTGTCATCGTGAGCAAATTGCTGATTACCATGGAAAATATGTATTGTTCAAAGTATCAGTAAGTATGTACTCAGAGTAAGGATACTCAAGGAACAATCGTGGCAATTTTTTTATAAAATCAAGCAAATTGGATTCTCTGTTTGTTAAACTTAATAATTCAAATTCTTCAAATTCAATTTTAAAATCACTATAATTTTTACTTATCTATCTACATTATCTATATAAGACAAAAATTATGTAAAGGTTACCACAATAAAATTACTATATCATTATGCGATAATCATTAAATTGATAATATCAAATTATATAAATATCGAAGTATTATTATAGTAAATTATTTAATTTAATTTGGTTAAATTAAATTTAAATTAAAGTACATAATACATTATAACCAATGCAATAGATACTAAAGAAAAGAAATTGCGACTTTACGGTAGTTCTTTATTGTCTGATTAATCGGCAAATGTACGGCAGATTGATGTGAGAGATTCGTTGCTTATATAAATCACTTTCGGCGGACGTAGGCTCATGCGAACTTTTGTCTGCCCGACGGTGGCTATTTATCAAAATCTCGGAAAATTTCTGGAAACGAAACAACGCCATTCGTAATTCGCAATCCTGATTATATCCCTTTTCTCTACCTATATTTATCACGAGAGAAAAAAATTCTGGACTACGGATTAATAAGTCACCGTCCCACTCACGTACCTACGTTAATTGAAGTTAAATTTACAAGATCATTTTCTATTATCATTTCCAATGAATATCACCGAATCTCTGCTTTTCCACTTTTCTCGCTTTTTAAGTAATGAAACATATTACCTTTGATTTATTTAATATAACATCTTAAAAAACATATATTTTTATGTTATAAATTTCTTAAAGTATGCCGTAACTGTTGTACAATTAAATAAACAATAATAAAAATATCTTTTTAATCTTTAAAAATTAATAAGAAATGTACAAATAGATGTATAAAAGAGAGATTTTTTTTATACAAAGCTTAACAATCGAAAAAACTGATTTCTATTTTATAGAATAATTTTGCCTTTTTTTATCATTCGCCTCTTTTATAATTTTGACTTTTTTATACTTTCGATTGTTTTAGTAATCAGTTACTGACTAGGAACTTTTGCAAATTTTTCATAGCGTCTTGAAAATATGATTTGGTCTGATAAAAAATATTAAGCTTTACGAGAAGAGCGTGTAACCATCATGCGAAACCAGCTTGGTATCGTCGGTTTCACAACCACTGGACAACAATATCTTTGAAGAGTATTAAAACCACTTTTAAAAAGTATGTATTAAAAAAAGAATGGCATGTGCCGAAAGAACATCTTGTTATAACTGTAAAAAACACTGACAGATCGATGTATGAATCGACAATGTTTTTACTGTTTTTCACGGGTAAAGCATCTGCTTCTGACAGTCCGAGAGAGTTTAAATTTTAATGTATGAATTGATTCGCTGTTACAAGCTGCGTAAAAGTTGTCGCCTATAGTTACTCGTTACTCAACAGCTTTGACAATCCTTATGTTGTTACGAGCTGATAATTTCACGATATTTTATTTCAAGAAAAATCGATTCCATTTAACTTATGAAAAGATTTTCTTTCACTACATATAAATCTATAGTACTTATAAAGATTCTCAAGCTAATTAAAGATACAAATACCATTATCTGCTCCAAAAAGAAAATTGAAAATTGAATTATTCTTTCTGACTAATTGATCGTGCAATTGAAATAAAAATATAGGATAATAACGTTTTCAACTTTACGATTGTGTTTGCATATCATGGAATACGTATTAAATTCCACACTATTCAATATTTATTCGCAGAATCAGTCATTGAAATGTTTAATTTTCTCGCAATACCGAAAAATTTATACTCTGCAAATAATTCTGATTAGATTCATCAAAGAAAATCTTCATAAAAATGATATTCATTGCAAATAGAAGTATTTTGGTTTATTCTCTTATACAAATATTATATATCTCAATTCTATTGTGATATTTTACTTGAATTCAAGTATTAACTGCATACTTATAGATCCGAAATATCCGATAGTTCAAAGTTCAAGCTCGAAACTCGGAGTGTTTGAATTGTTTCGTTACTGGTATGTTTGCGAAGTAAGGATCGAGATACAGTTATTTATCGTGTGACACACCGAATTTAACTACTTTAGTCAACGGCTGAAAGTTCTACTGACACTTTCCTCACTTCAGCACTTTCACGTAGCTTCTTAAGACACCCCTTGTACGCGCTAAATTTGTCAAACAAGTCATTCGAAGTACCTAACTATATGATCTTTACCACACCAATTTGTTAATCGACATCATTTATATAGTATGTATTGAGGACATATTAATCATCGCGTCACTTGTAACATCATTTCGCTTTTCTTCGTAATTTGATGAAGGTGGATAAGGTGTTAAGAAACACAGCCTAAATCGACTTGTCGGGCACGATGATATTAAAACTTGAGAGCGCTATATCGTCGGATAAGTAAAAAAAAAAATTAATACTGACAAGCCCAAACCTGACATTCGAAGAAAACGTGAGCTTTGAAATTTTTATACGAAAAATTCTATACTAAAAAAATAAACATTTCTATTAAATTCTATTTAATAAGAAAAAAAATGATCGATTTTGTTATTTCTTTATTATTATTCTAGTAAAATAATTACATTCTCGCGTTAAATATTAAATGTTTTGAATTCTATTTATACCCTCCCCAATTCATTATACTCATTTCTTAAGCTATCACTTTTTCTAAAAATATTAACATTTTATATTTTTATTTATTTATCTATTTCAAAAATTATATTTATACATTTCTTTTCTTCCCAACAAATAATTTTAGAACAAAAAATAAAAAAATATATATAATACTACATAATGCTACAGATAGATTAAGCAAAGCATATAAGCTTCACTCACACACTCGCGCATATGCATATACAAAAGTACTATTAAAGACTTCATATTTTCAAAATTTACAATAAGAGCAGGCATTATGTTTCAGTTAAGCTTAATTGACTGTACCTAATTGATTTTAAAAATGTTTCACGTAACAATCGAAATAACTAAGATTGCAAGAAATTCGTGACATTCTATCGCTCATTTAAGATTCTTTTTTTTTCATGGTAGAAAGGTGTGGTCGCGATAAGATACCTTGAAATCGAGCATTAAAAAATAATATTTAAGAATCATCGTCGGACGTGCATGTATACTCGTACTTTTGTAATATCGCGTGACACTATGCCCTTTCTCGCTCCTTTTATCGCGTGCACATGGCATTTTTCAGTGACCCATGGCTTACGTCGGCTTAATTACGTCGATGTTTGACGAGCAATTTTGCTAATGTCCTCGTGTGAAATAACGTGCATTTAATGAGTCATGGTTCTGAGATCTTGTTAAAGACATGTTTAATTCTTAATAGGTAACATGGAAAAAGTCGGTACTATCGGTGACGAGAAATCTTTCAGATTCCTTATTTTCTTTATAGATCTCCTTCGAATAATTATATAAGAGACAGAAAGAAAGACAGGAGAGAGACAGAAAAAAAGAAAATAATATTAATCATATTTATGGGTTATATAAATCATCTAAGAATACAAAAAATAGAAGAGAAAAAATATCATACATTAAATATACATTAAAATGAATTCTTTCTGTCATTTATTTATTTTTCAGAGTAATAAAAACTAAAAGGCATACTGCAAAGCTTTGAGAAGCTTCATATATCTTGTTATTAGTTATTAAATCAGCTTGCAAATAAATAATGTATTTCGTATATTTTACGTTACTGTATTTTTGACAAGCATCAGCAAACGTCTACTCGACGTAAAAATAAAGATTCAAAGATTTAATTACTAATTCTCGTCAACAGTAGGTACAAAATTGTTAGCGCAAGCTGTCCTAGGAAAAGCTCATTCATGGTGTTCGTTGCTCTATTTTCCGAGAGCATATCACACGTCAAGGAGAATAATATGTAATTACGTCACTCTCGTATTCTCCTTTGTATGGAAGCAAAGCTCCAGAATAATTGAGAAAGTAGGCTAATCCGCGGCTTGATATTTTAGACTACAAAGAAAGTAGTCGTCGAAAAAAACAGAAAAAAAATGAAAAAGAGACGTGAAAGAGATGAAAGCGACTGTCTCGTTATTTCGAACGAACGCAAAGAAAATGCGCCTTTTTTTAACAATAATACATGCTGACAAGTTGGAGGCGGTGCAAAAAAAGGAGATATCCGGTAAAGTTGATACTAACGGAAGTGAGCGTCCATTATTCCATCACAATCGAGGCGAGAACAATGGAAATGTCTGGCCACGGATCGATATGTAATTAGCGAATATTACTAATAAATAAAGCGAAGGTAACGTGAATATTTAAAGATAAATCATGCAAAAACATGAAAATACCGAGTTGAACAAAGAAATTATTTGCACAGCTAGTTATTTTTCAATTAATTTTGTATTTTCCCTTCCTTTGCAAGCATGCTCTTCGCATAAAAGTAATTCACAATCTGAGATGCAAACACAATATAATATATAAAGATATCTTCAAAGACCTATAATACTAATCATTTTAGATTCTGAGATAAATTTCTAAAATGCACAATTTTTTGGCTAATACCATCAACTAGTCAAATTGAATTTGGATTCTGAGAACCGTTGTTTCGTTCAAAACATATTATAAAAGATATAGATAATATGAGCAATAAAATAAATGTCAATTAATTTATAATAAATCAAACAATGTGATAAAAACCGTCATTGAAATAAATCACTCGACGACACACATATTCAATTATGAAAGACTACTGCAGCTAAAAAACTATCGTTTCCTCTTAGCGGAATTCTTAGCGTTAATTATTCTTTTTTATATAATAAAAGATATTTTTTGTTTTATGTTTTTTATGAACAACTTACTCAGCGTACGTCGCGTGACGTGAGTCACGAGGAAAATCGTTTCGTCATGCTGTTTCGGCGCAATCTTGTAATCCACACGATGGTGTATATACATATTAGAGATTATAGGACGACCGATAAGACTCGGATGTTTATCTGGTTATCTAAGCTTTCTGATCTTTACACTTCGACATGCACATGCACAATGTCGCGTGTTTTCATTCGACAACTTTTCCATATGTAACGTTTTTCTCTTAAAAACAACATATAAAAATAAAATAAAAGTCGACGAGCGTGAGTTTCTGAAAGAGTGACGATGCTTCTCGTTAAGATGTCAATATTTAAAGAACAGTCCACGTATGCTGTCTTTACGCTAAGTGCGCGACTCCTCGGAAAACAATTCTCTAGGAAGAATTACTTTATGTAATTGGGTGTTATCTTTTTTATATACATATCTTGTTTTACGTATTTTTATACACTTAACTTTGTTAAAAGGACGTTTGATTTGAAAGCGGGCTAAACAATTTCTGCACTCGAGTCTTACACTCGATCGTCAAGCGGTTTAATATCATCGTCGCGACATTTGCACTAACAATATAAATTGACGCGAAATCGAATACTCTCGGAACAAAACTTTATAGGGCGACTCATTAAAAAACCAAAGTGTATGTACGTGTTAAAAAAAATTTCGTTGGCGCAAGTATCGAGATTCAACACATCGGTTAATTGGTAACAAGACGAACGTGCTGAATATAACTATAACTATAACAATTGCAATAATTATCGACGGTCGATTGTTTCGATTCGAATCGCGTTATAGGTACCTGTTGCAAGAGAAACCCAGAGTAGTCCTGGCTCGCACAATGCTCCAGGATGCTCCTCGTCCCCGCTACCGAGGTTGGACTGGTCCTAGTCCCTGGTGATGACGCCGTCGTCGCTCCAAGCGGACGATGCAGTCGCGTGCTAACTGCTCGGCGCTCGCGGCTCCAACTCGCAGTGCGGCGACATCGATTCGCCCGCGGCGAGCCGCGTTTTCGTGAACACGAGCGGTCGGTTGAGCGGCCCGCGACGCAACGTCGCGACCGCACGCTCCGTGGTACGCTCACTCGTCGCGCGATAACAGCAACGCGATAACGTACGTTACGCGCATGCAAACGACACGTGTGTGTGCGTGTGTCTCTCTTTCTCTCTCTCTCTCTCTCTCGCTTATCGCGTTTACGATTCTTGCGGCGCGGCGCGATGGTGCGCTCGCCTGACCGGGCAGATTTTACGTACGCGCGCGCCTTTCCTCACCCTTTGCTCGTACAAAAGAGGCGAAACGATTTGGCCAGCTCTCACGGTACGTCGCGGGAAATTTGAGGAGTGCCGTCAATCGTTATTACTGCTGTCCGCGGTCACGGAGCGAACCGGCCGACGGCATTGACTCCGGCTTTTCCGAAGAGGCGAGGCGACCAGAGGCGGGTCGTCCTGCGACGCGGGACGAGTGAATCTGACAGGAGGGTAGCACGCGCGCTGTGGCGCACCGCGCACGTGCCGGGCGCCGCGCGCCGCGCCGGCACGTAGTTCGCGGCAAGGGCGCGGGGCGCGGCGGCGCAAACCAGGGTTCGACTACTAACCCTGAATATACCCTGGTGTGATCACCGTTAACCCATCGTCGAATGTCCCATTTTTAGCCCAATTATCATTCGTATAACGAAATTTAGTAATGATAACGTGACACTAGAGAATAAAAAATTAAGTAATTAAACTAGACATGTGAAAATGAAATTGTGATCGACAATAGAATTAGTATATAAGCTTAAAGATAAAATACTCGAAATTTTACAAAAATAAAAGTAAAGTCATTAATATAGAATTATATCAAAAGGAAAGTTAATTTACAATGTGAAAAGTAATTATTTCTGTAAAATTGAAATTTCATTTTTGAAAGAAATCATCAACGCAGACTTCTTTCTGTTCCTTCCATCTCGCGTATTCAAGACACGTTTGTGAATAACAATGAGTAAGTATAATAAGAGAGTAGATCGCATAAGCTACTCTTTTATTTAAAACGAAAAATAATAATAACGCGAGTAAAGTTATGTATGTATTTCTATATAAAAATAAAATTTTTATATAGAAATGTATTAAAAGAAAAATAAATTTACATCACATAAAACGTGATTATCTCCCCAGAATCGATTTCATTTCGAGATTTAAAAAATCAGCGATTTTTTGACAAAAATGTCCTTTCTGTTCTCTCTGCCAGATACATTCAAGACGCGTTTAAATAATGCAAATGACGATAACTGCATAATCCACGTTTTTTGGGGGGAAAAAAAAAGATAATAATATAACGACAGAGCCACATATATCACCAGGAATATATACAGCACTTTCAACTTAATTGTTTCAAGAAGGATTACGCTGTGAGGGTTGAGTCTACATGATGGACAGTCCTGCCTTAACTTCTCAATGATTCTATCGCAGGATCATTCGGCGAATGTACGAATCGTTACGGGGAAAGGGGGTTCGTTACAATCACATGCCTTTCCGTTGAGTCTCCGATACACACTGGCCGACGTACGCGAACGCGGTGATTATAGATCGTGCTTGGTCATGCCGTTTTACTTTATTACGAGGACACACCGCCGCGACTATCGCGAGCCGGGAATACGTGACGTCACTCTAACGTTACATTCAAGCGCGCGCGCGACGTTTCCGCTTATCGATATGGTTTAAATTATCGATCGTCGACGAGGTCGAAACGCAAACAATCAACCGCGACCTCGCAAGTTCGGAACTAAAGTTCGCTCTATGTCTTACGACCTTCCATTTGGCGCTCAAATTCCAAGTGATTAAGTAAAAAAAATCAATTTTTTAAAATTTGTATTTGTTTCAAAAGCATTTTTCACCAATTCGATCAATTTAACATGTACGCGTTATGTAATAAATGATTTAGAAGTATAAAAATCAAATAATGTCAATTTTTTCAATTTTTATTTCAAAACGAAGTCAAATTCAAATTTTTAAAAATGTAGATCAGATATATATTATATAAGAAATATATTTAAATCTTTCTAAATCATTTTAAATCTGCGCGCGTAATTGTTAAAAAACGCAGGCTGTTTCTTAATTAGGAAGCTCTAATATTATTTAAAGCTTGCTAAACTGTCTAAAACTTATATTTAAGAAAATAATCTTTAGATGTTTTAAAAATATTAAGCTCCTTCTACTGAAAGTAAAGGAAGTTCCTTCAAATTCTTTTGACTTTGTCGCGTTGTACTTTGCCGTCGTATCACACGGAGAGCCGAAATTATAAGTAAATACTCTACAGATAAGAGTTACGATTCGAGCTACGACTTAAATTGTCATAGGAAAATCTATGTCGATGCTTACTGTCGCAGCTGCTTACGTAATTGACAGCATAAGTATTGTACGCTCTCGCAAAGCCGGCACATATAGTAACCAACATATACAATACCATTAATGATTCACCTAAATATCGCCGCCAATAATGCGATATTATGTGACGCAATTGCGAGCACAATCAATCTGTCCATCGAGCAAATAAATCATCAGCAAGGTCATCAAAAATGTAAAAAAAATCGTTAAGTATGCACACGCTCATCGCGAGTAACATTGCAAATGCAAAAAGATCGTTATACTGCAATGTAATAACATACTGTCCTGGCATGTGTGCAACGATTTTTCCTTCGATCGCAAATATATCATAATATCACATCAGACGATTCTCCGGAATCCGCCATCCACCTCACTGATTGAGCATCCGCGGAAAAGTTAGACCATGTTTCACGAATATTTCATTTCAAGCTTTCAAGGCCGCAAAATTGTGTCCCGTGATATTGTCCGCTATACCATCGATCAATTGCCCGTGCAAACATTAATTCTTGGTATGTTTTCCACTGATGAGGAAAGAGAGATGATTTAAGAGAGAGGATGCATATTTTTTCAAACTTTTTGTTATTTCAAAAATAAAGCTCTGAAAAATATCACCATAGGAATAATTATTTAGAAAACAATATCTGTTGTGCTTTTTAATCATATCGATTCAATTATACGTTATTATACTACTGCATTCAATTAAATTATTCTTTTATATGCACATATTTTCGGTCTAAAGAAATTTACAAAAGTAAAAGTTTTTCAACGCCGTTTAAGTTTTAATTTTCTTTATTATCGTACATCAGGTACAAACAATGCCAAGATCGATATATATGTTTCGATTAAGATAATGCCATACGTACGTGACAATGGAAAACTAGGAAAATGTAGCACGAATTCGAGACATGCCCCTTGTCGAGATACAGAAGATAAATACGACGAACTATATGCATTGGATCTAGGCTGGATAACGGCACAGCTGTTATCTCTGCGAAATTTCCACGGAAATAAATAGCGTAATTTTCCAACCATAGCCATTATCGTGTGTACCGAGACTGATATACTGCAATTATAATTTTATTAAAATTGTCGCATAAATCGGTTTTCTATGTAATGATAAAGAAAACCAATTTATGCAAAAAATGAGTACTTATAAAACTTTCATATATTAATTTTTTTGATATATTGAAATACAAAACAGAATATCTTGTAAGGCATTTTCGATAAGCTTGATAATTTAATATGCATAATAATGAAACTTTCATATATTAACTTTGATATATTGAAATACAAAACAAAATATCTCGTAAGCCATTTTCGATAATCTTGATAATTTAATATGCATAATGATGCATATTAAATTATCCAGATTATCGAAAATGCCTTACAAGATATTCTGTTTTGTATTTAATATATGAAAGTTTTATAAGTATTCATTTTTCGCGAGGATCCTATCATATTTTTTCATATGGAATAATAAAAGAATAATAAACTTATGAAAATGCATGATTTTAGAAGAGACCTTGCGTGTCAACATTATTTTTATGTAAGTAAAGAATTTTTTTACTAGAAGAAAACTGTTAATAACATTTTTATATTTTATATTAATATATTAATAAATTTATTTTTTGCTTATATTATTACATAAAGTATACAATATGATTACGTATTGAATCTTTATGTATCTTTATATAGAATTTATAAACATTATTTTGAAAAATGCATTTCTGAGAGATTGCTAATAAAAAGCATAGATATTAAATTCTTGCCTTATAATACAATGCATTTGTATAAATATATAGTTTTGTGTGTACAAATATATATATATATATATATCCTAATATACTATATGTCAATTTATAATTTCTCCGATGAGTATAAGATTTAGATACAAAATTTAAATGCTAAAAACACTTACATCTGTTGTGCGCTTTAAAATCGAAGTATGTGTATCTCCCGAATGCTGACTAGAAGTGAATATTTGAAGCTGACTAGGCTACGCATACTTTGTGATTTATCCATTACTGTGCGTCACGCAAAATTCATCGTGAAATACACATCACCAGGAAAGCAAAGTAACAAACTTTTAGAAAAGCGTTCCAACACTTTTAGAAAAATTAATACAGCAAAATTCCTCGTTCGTTCGTTACTGCGCAGGTGCAAAATTATATACCGGGTATCTTGGTGCAAAATGATTAGCCAGGCCGTAAACATATTCTGATTCTCCGCGGTCGCGAAGATTTCTGGCGCCAGGTGGCGATTCCTCGAAAGACGGCGGAGCTGAAAAGAAAAAAGAAAAGCAATTATTTTTTCAAAAAAATTATTATTTCTATACATAGTTTTTGATCAGAGCTATACGATGTAAAAATGTCTCGTAAATAGATTGTTTCATCACAAATTCTATCATCGCAGTGTTTCTGTCTTCTACGTGAAAAAACAATATTAATGATTGCGTAGATCTTACGTAAGTTTGGATACAAATGAGACTCTGGCAATGGCAGTAATGTTGCAGTATTTGTCGAAGGTATAACAAAACCGGCTTCCGGTGGTTTCGTTGAATAATCGCCGTCCATTGCCGCCGGTGGAGCACTTGGGACATGATAAACTGCAAGCGGAACTGTTCCCACAAAGATAAGCGTATTAGCGGATAGATTTTCATGATACCTACAAAATATTGCAAGATTTATTTAAAAGTATAAAAAATTGATTTAAATGAACACTATTTTATACATTGTATAATTGAAATAATCTAAATTATATGAAAGAATGTACGAAAGAGACATTAACCATTCTGCAACGCATGCTTCCACCTTCAAATTATATTCGAGATCGATGATGCGGCAATTAGCAAGATTCGATGGCGGAAGAGGAGGAATGCCCAGACGTTGCTCGTAATCAGCGGTTCCACCGGCTACAACCGGTCCTCTACTTATCTCCGTCACCACAATTTCCTCGGTTTTAGTTTCCCTGCGTGGTGTGGTAGCATGGAAGGTCACAATCTAAACTTCACGATTCATTATTACTTATCGATGAAAAATTCAGCACGAAGGCTGTTTAGGCCTTAAGACACAATCGTGAAATGCATATATGTTACCCTTCAAATGATTTCCAAACAAACAAAAAATTTAGTTGCAAAGCAAAACTACTATTTCATACCTTACAGAGCACGAGTTTGACAGTGTTCACAACAATATTCGATAAATTCTCGATGTTTATCTTGATTGGCATTGATTGTCCGGGTACATAACCTCGAACCGGTAGTGAAAAGTTTACAGACAAAGGTGGCGTGCTGCACCATAAACAGCAAAATGTTTTACTCATTTCTTGTTGCACGGACTCCTGGAAATGAATAATTCTACAATCTACCTTTATTCGTATTACTACAGTAAAAATACATTTTACTTTAATCCTCAACAAGTACCATCATATTGTAATACAATACAAAAAGATAAAATTTTATGTGACACGAGACATAATTGAAATTACTTCTTCATATACCTCCTAATTTTGATAAATTTTTTAATTATTAAAAATAATACAGATCATGCAATGTTAAAAATTTTGCAAATTTTATTTTATGACAATATCAAGGTTCTTGCTAAAGATTACACTGTCATTGTCTAAATTAATCTATGTTTAATTTAAATGTATGTAATTTTAATTAAATGCGAATTTATTTAACCGTGAAACTTACAGCTGCTCTGGGTTCTCGATTCAAATCCAAGGGAGCAATAACTGTGAAAGGGCTCTTAGCGTCATGATCAAATTTCCAAGGCCGATCCAACGTGGCTTTAACGGTATAACGAACGTGTCCAAAGTCCGATTCAAAACTACTCGGCAAGTTTGTCGGCAAGGAACAAGTGAATGGAAATTTGTGTTCTCCTGATTGTATTTCGATTTCTCCACCTAACAAAAGAGCAAAAGATAATAAAATGAAGACGTACAAATAAGGGGGAAAGTTGTAATATACAATTATAAATAATAAATTGTAATAGTGTTGAAACGCCTGAATTATAAAATACATAATACAGATTTAAATTCTGTCTGGCAAAGTTTTTAAATAAATCGAGATGAGAAAACACTAGCACAGTCAATTTAAATCCTGAGGTATTTTTCGTAATAAGTTATTTTACAGTATTTAAAAGATACTCATTAGCATCAAATTATTAAATTAGGTGTCAATTTAATCATAATATTGCGTACTCCAGATTCAGTTTAGCTGTGTTTTACGACCAAACATTCGATGCGCAATTTTCTTGAATTGGAAAATTAAAAGATTCATACATGTGTGAATATTATTAAGCCAAGATCAGTGACATTTGACCATGTTAACATTTTCTTATCTTAATTGTTTAAACAATACACAATCAATTCTTATTAGTGTTAAAATACATTTTTTTTCATTTATTGCTTAGATGTTCTTGTTAAATTCATCTTTCATAAAGCATATACCTAGTTGATAAATATGTTGAGACGTTGAAATGTAAAATTAAAAAAAAATCAGTTTTTAAAAAACGATTGTTTTATATTTAAATTATATATAAGTCATAAATAAAAATTTTAATAAATTCTTTTAAAATATCCATACATATGTATGTATGTATATCTACATGTTGATTCACATCTATAGGAAAATGTTCATTTCAATTATAAAATATTCTTTTTGACAAATTTTTAAGATTGTCACGTAATATATTTTAAAATCTTCAACATATCATTTAATATTTTATTTCAATTTTATGAGCTAAATAATCAAGCTTACCAGATGCTGATCCAACCAAGTAATATTCCTTATCAAAATATTCTTCATGCCCTGTGACAGTTACGGTCTCGTCCCGATATTGTCCCTTCTCATCCATTTCTTGTTTATCGGTTGCCCAATGAGTATTTGCTTCACCTTTTACTTTCACCCTTATACCTGTAGAAAGTAGAAAAGATTATAAACGTTATAAAAATATTTGAAAAATCAGCTGCTTATTTTTATTATTAGTTAATTCGTTCAATCAATTTTGACTTTTTAATTAATTAATTTTTATTCAAATTGTTCATTTCTCTATTAATCCATCTATTTCTTATGCTTCATCATTTTGCATTAAAATGTGTAATTTTATATTAAATTACTCAATTAATTTGTTTGATTTGTTAAATTGTTCCAATCATAAAATAAGACCTATAAAATAAAGCAAAGTCTATACAAATTCTTGTTTTTAAAACTATTCAATATTATTCATTATATTTGCTATAGCATGTAGCAGTATTCAAAATTGAAAGAAGACAAAGTGTCAGAGCAGTCGAGAGACTGCTTGGAGGAGTACGTGTGTGGCAGTTCTATAATTAACCCTTACACATTGCAAGAATAGAAGAGATCGCTTGCAGAATGGAATGCGGTGAATATAGAATGCATTTTGTTGTAAATATAATAGCGTACTTAAAATTATTATAGTTCCTTCTAATACAACAGAGATTGGAAGTCAATTTAAGTGAAATTTTTTATTTAAAATCTTAAATGATAAATAAAACAGGGGCGCATATATGTCTCAAAAAGACATCATATCTTTTTAATTTCTACGTCTTCAAAACATATTAAGATGTTTTCTCTCTTTCTCTCTAAATATTTTTTATACATCACAATGAAAAGTACACATTTTCAACGATATTCTGATGTGTGTACATACAGTCGTGGACAGATCGGTCTAGACAATTTTTTTTATAGGTTAAATTTTCTAATATATATTTAATATACATAATATATATTTTATAGGTAACTAATATTTTGCAAATGCGAACCATGATGTACTATCTTTAATCTAGAGACAGTATAACACCAATCGTGGTTCGCATTTGCAAAATATTAGTGCGTTTTGAAACCTATAAAAAAGTGTCGCAACCAACCCACGACTGTACATAATCGATTGTCCTTAATAGACTTACCGCGAATCTTCTTTGTACTGTTCAGGATAACGATGATGTTACCCGTCACCGTTTGTCCAGAATAATACGTGCTCCATGGATTGTCGAACACTATTCGGAAGTCCGCGAGGCCCATATTGGTCGTTTAAGGTTAGCTTCGTTGTAACACTCGGATTATTTCATTTACATTTATTATTCACTAGCAGCCGACATTCACAGCTTTTGCCGAAGGCAATTAGGACGCCTGCCACGATAATGCGCTAATGGCTGATCACAGATATAACGAAATCCCTCTATTCTCTCTGATTCATTTCTCTTTGATTTTCCGACTTTTCCGAGGAGAGCGGTTATGGTCGGTGCACAGTCATGCACGCATTTAGCCTCTATGTCCACGATGTTGAACTACGTAGCCAATGTCGACGATTATGTCGGTAATGTCCACGACTTTTTGATTCTCATCCGTGCTATGTTTTACCATCAGCTGTCGCTTGCTGGATAATCAAACACGAATGGTAACTATAAAAATGCAGTTTTAAATCAATTAAATTATATAACTATCATTGGTAATGTCATCGTTCTTCAATTATCCTCAGATCCACTTGACACTTTTGACAGTCATGAAACTTTGCCTTTGACCGGCCATCCTTAATAATAGATATAATAATATTTTATATTAATATCTCGCTTTATGGTTACAATCACTGAACTATGTAAGTTCAGTGATTACAATAGTAATGATTTTAATAACCTAGATTTCCTCGGGTTTTTTGCGCATGCGCGTAGCGCGACACAGCCATGGGCGCGCAGCTGTATACAACACGCTTTTGCGGCTTTTGACTCTTACGGAATCATTTCATCCTCATTATTTGTCAAACGTTAAACAAGGATGAATCATGCTCATAGCGCGTGAGCATTATGGAGCATTAAAACTGAACGCAGCCAGCGTATACTAGAGCATTGCCGCAAAAATGTAGACGAACCTCGATGATTGGATAGGTTAGGACGTTTAGAATAAGTAGATAAGTATAAAAATAAATAACAATCTTATTATAGCGGATGCTGTGAAAAATTAATTTTTTAAAAATGTTTAGATAATTCTTAGAAGAAATTTAACTAAGGACTATGTACAGTCGCGGTTGCGACACTTTTTTCAGATTTTTTAAATATATATTTAATATATGTAATATATTTAATATATATAATATATTTTTATATAGGTAACTAAAAAATATATTTTGCAAATGCGAACCACGATGGTGTACTATATCTTTAGTCTAGAGACAGTACACTAATCGTAGTTCGCATTTGCAAAATATTAGTGCGTTTTGAAACCTTTATTAAAAAACCTTTATTAAAAAAAAGTGTCGCAACCAATAAGTCCACGACAGCTGTATCTTTTTTTTCTCAAACAAGATATTTTACTTTGTGAGACTAAATTTGATACGCATGCGTAAAAACTCGGCCCATCTAGAATCACTGGGTCAATAGGGTCATTTTTGCACTAAAATACGCGTAGGTATAAGCAGGTGTCTTTAAAGGGCATTTCGAGACAAAATATTTTTCCAAAAATAAATTAAAAATAAGAAAAAACGCTATCACGGTATGTACATAAAGCGGATCTTGATACTTAATGATATTTTTATATGTGAATCTTACAATTCTCAATTCAAGTAAAACGTACTGATTAGCATCGAATTATTATAAATTGCTTTGGCAATTTAATTATGATATTATTATACGTGTACTATTCAATTTAGAGCTGCATTTTAAAGACCAACGATTACGCGGCGCGCAGTTTACTTGAACTGAGAATTGTTACCTGTTATTATACCGTTACAAATAAAAAAAATAATAATAAAAACGGTAATGGGGCATTACTTCCCAGTCCTGTGCTTATCTTAATTATTCGCATTGAGATTTATTGTTAATTTGTGCGAGATCAACGATATGTTGAAAGATGATATTCCTTTCATCTATGTCAAAAATGCGCAATTTATTGGCAGTTTTTGACATATCAATAATTAAATTGGCTACAATTTTTTTTACTCTATATAAATTTCAAATCGCAATTTCGCAAATGTTTGCGGAAAGAACGACACAGCTGTGAAATAGCTAGGATATAAATGTCATTGTATTTCATCGAAATTTAGCAATCTGTATATGCTAAATATCGAACACACGTTTTTAAAATTAGATCTAAAGGGGATCTGACGTCCCGACCATCCCCCCAATCGTTAAACAGTATGGACTGACTATTTGATCGCGGTCGTAAATTTCATACGTCAGTTGCAATTTTAAGTCGTATTGACGTACAATTTATTATATTCCACAACATCGTATAATAATATTGTGTCTCGAGTTTAGCCGGAAACATTTAACTCTTGAAATTAATATAAATAATATAAATAAATAATAAATTTAAAAGCTTCGCCAAGCATAATCCAAAAAATTTTTTTTTATCTATTATTTTTACTATTTCACTCTTTAGCAACGTTGATCTCAATTATTATTAATATATATATGTCCTTCGCGTCTCCAAGCTACATGATCAATTCTAAAGAATAAATCATAAATAGATATTCTTACAAAGTGTCCTCGTTCCGGGTGAAACATACGTAAATGCCTTCTATATCTGTTCTGCTTTAATTTCTGCTTTAGTGTTCGTTGATCGATAATTCAAAACAATACTTTAGCATGTGGCGCGTGAGCGCACTATATAAGTTCAATATTCATCTAATGTTTTTGCTGTTTTTATACAAGATATGCATATGGCAATAGACTCTTTTCCCATATTGATTTACCAATGCAATTTGAAACTACTTAATATTACCTTATACGTTACGATTTATTATATCATGTGAAGAGAAACACAAGATCGCTTAAACCTATTTGTTTTCAATTGTAAACATAAAAACAAAGAAACTCTCAATAATTAGCAACATCTTGATTTATATATATATTTATATACATGAGTCATGGAAATATGAAAACATAAAAAAAATATATTGGGCAAATGTATTGAAAAAATTTTAAATATACATATATATATATATATATATATTTCAAACATTTAGGTATTTCTGAAATATTTAAAATCTTTAAGACTCAAAAATTTTTTAGTTTTGCATAATTTGTGATAATTCGAAACTCTCGTTATATGCATATTTAATAAACCTTCTCTTTATATTTTAATTGAGTCTGTTGTAAATAATTTGGAAATTTTTTTCTAGATGGATAAAATTTCACGTGCGTCAGACGTGGGTCACCCGCGAGTCGTCCCCGGGTCCATCTTATACTATCGCATTTTTCCTGTGACGCTGTCGGTAGTGCTGGTGGCGTATCGTCCTCTTCGCGCAAGCTCCGCTCCTCAGGAGGGCTATTGATCCGCGCCGACGTTTCGGCCGACGATCGGACGGTAGAGTGCCACGGACGTCGGGCCGTACGCCGCCCGTAAATAATCGTTCGGTGTGCCGAGGGTAAACGGATTTTAAACGCGGATAAAGTCATCCTTTTAGGCATTCAGGGGTAGCAGTGTGCCCGAAGATGGTTGGCGGAGTAACGGAGGGTGGACCTCTCATTCGACCTGTCGAGCCCGGTGAGTGCCGACGACGTGTCGCGCAACGTTTCCCACCTGACGTCCTTCCGGAACCACCCACCGTTGACGACAGCTTCTTGCTTTTCACTATCATCGCCCAATCCTTGCGAGATCGACTGACTCATCTATCGTTTGCAACAATAATCGCACCTCCCTAATGTCGTTCAGAATTAAGTGCGCTGACAGCTGTTAGCCCTTCAGTCTGTCAGTCACGACCCTTAATTCTAGATTATCAATTCTTGAGGACTCACAGTAATATGTAGCGATTGTGTTTCCCAAATACATAAAATTTAATTTGACGCATCGCGCTTTGCTCATGGATGTGATCATCGAAATGGCTTTAACGCGCAATTTCGTGAAAAGCGATGAAAAATATAAATGAGTCACCCGTCGACTAGCCCTTTACTACAGGAGTAAAACCATGGGATATCGGAATAATCAGCGCATAAAGACAATGCGCTGTCACGCAACGTATTTGGGAGACTTGACTGCAACAATTAATTGATTGTTTTGCTTTACGTTTCGCACATTTACATTTCGCATTGAGGAGATACGAAAAATACAGAAAGAAATTGCTTCTTTAATTCTTTCATATTTTCACATAAACACATAATATGAGCTATTTTTTAGAATATATATATATATATACACGGTAATTATTCGCTCTCTTGTTGCATTACACGATACCACGCTGTTCGCGATAAATAGATACGCAATTATGACAAAATCGAAATCGAAAGGCACACATGCGTACGATCAGTGATCCCACAGATAGGCCGGGTTTTTTTGCGCATGCGTAGCAAATTTGATCTCAACGCAATGCCCTATTTGAGAAAAAAAGGCATGATATATATATATATGGACCCCCGTTAAATTTTCCAATCTAATCAAATCAGATCAGTTCAAAATCAAGTCTGACCCAAGTCTGATTAGTCCGACCAAGCCCGGTCAAGTCCTACCGAGTTTTTCCAAATTTGATCAAGTCTGATTAGTCTCACCAGGCCGACTCAACCAGTCTGCAATGATAACTGCATATGATTTCAGTCTCGACGGCGACATTGGTAACGTTATGTATCGGTGCCGCTTTCTTATTATGCGCCGTCGCTATGACCTGGTGGCTCTGTCGACGGCGTCGCGAGCACACCAAGCTAAGTTCTGACAAGTCCCTGGCGTTCAGGCCGCCGCATCGGAAGCCGACGGCAGTTAAGAGTCCCGGCAGTACGAGCCACTATTTAAAGAAGAGTCCATCGCCGACTGGACCGGCTAAGAGCCCGCCCGGTTCCGGTGGACAATCTCCCAGTCCGACAGGGTCGCAGTCCTCAAACCCAGCGTCTCAGCCCAGAACACCACAAAGCGCAGGTAACATAACGTAATTTATAAAATCTAATAATGTAATTTGTAAAAAATTACTTCACATCTCTTTCTAAGAAAAAAATTATTTTTTACGCTTACGTTTATATTAATAATTCTGCAGGTACACCGGTACAGACGCCCGTCGAGGTTGCTGTGAGTATAGAGAACGAGCGTGACAAGGCTGAGCTAGAGAATAACGAGAAGGTCGAGCGTGAAAAGAGCCAAACAGCTGAAAACGACAAGGATAATCTGGGTCAACTAGTTTTCAAATTGCGATATCGAAGCGAACAGAATGCGCTTGCGGTCACCGTAGTGAAATGCAAAGGACTACCAGCCAGAGGTCAACAGAACGCTACCAGTGATCCTTATGTGAAGCTGCAATTGTTGCCTGACAAACAGCATCATGTAAAAACTAGAGTCCTCAGAAATACCAGAGACCCAGTGTACGATGAAGATTTTACATTTTTCGGCATATCGCAAAGTCAGCTTCAGGTAAATGATCGAGATCAGATTTTGTTTAAATTGTCTCTATGATTTTACAATTAAAATTATTGTAATGAATTTTTTCTTAAAAGGAGAATGATCTATTTAAAAATTATAATTCCAGAAAATCAGCTTACACTTCATTGTGCTGAGTTTTGACAGATATTCGCGTGACGATATCATTGGAGAATTGACATGTGCTTTATCATCAGTGCCCGGTTTAGAGGATGCGGACAATCAAGAAATATCTCTCTGTCGAAAAATATACCCCAGGAGTTTAAAGGTATAAATTGTTGAAGAAAAATCAAGATTTTTAGTGAAAAGACGTCCAAGAAGAAGTTTAAAGCACTACTTATAAATAAATACAATAAATCTTAAAGTACAAATAATTTTTCCTATTTTTTTTTATTTCTTTTTAGATACAGTCGCAAGGGAGAGGAGAATTATTAGTCTCTCTTTGTTGGCAACCTGTTACCAGCCGGCTGACGGTGGTAGTATTAAAAGCACGAAACCTACCTAAGATGGATGTGACTGGGCTTGCTGATCCATATGTGAAAATCTATCTTCTGTACAACCAACAACGTATTGCTAAGAAAAAAACACACGTAAAGAAACGTACGCTCAGTCCAGTATTTAACGAATCCTTCGTCTTTGACATACCAAACGGTGCAGATGGGCTCAACAATGTCAGCCTCGAGTTTATGTTACTAGACTGGGATAGAGTTACGAAAAATGAGGTAAGTTTTATTACAACTTTGATAATTTTGTTTATCCGAAACACGATATTTCATTTACTCCATTATTAGAATTAATGTATATTTTACGCAAATCAACTTCTCTGTTTGTCATATTTGCAAAATATCAAGACTTAATAAGTATATTTTCATACATATGTCTAATTTTTTTTTAATTATTTAATTATAAATATATTACATTGAAAATTTTTGAAAGAATTTATGTGGAACTATTTAAATGTGTTGTCCGAAATGAAATGTTTATCAAAATAATCTAGTTTTAATGATTCGAAATCACGAAAATAAAACGAGTCGTAACAAAATATAATAACTTAGGTAATCGGCCGGCTAGAGTTTGGTGGACCAAAATGTCAAGGCTCCGCTGTAAACCATTGGAAAGAGGTATGCAGCTCACCGCGACGACAGATAGCCGATTGGCATAAATTGCGAGAGTAAGTGGTCTCTGGCCCTACGTATCAGCCCGAGTTCCCACCTCCAATTTCTCTGGATTCCCATATCCTCCTCCACTGTGAAACCGATTCGATCCTTGAAACCCTACGAGGTAGGGCATCTGTTTTGTAAACCTAATAATCGATGTATTAGGCTTGAAACGAATGGTTCCATCCGTAATCGCTGTCATCACACATAAAAATGTCTTATATTCATAAACGTTTGCAAATTTTTTTCTTTACAATTCACACTAGGAAATCTAGTGATAGCTTTTCAATCTCAAAATAAATGAAATTTTCAATAAATGGAATAATCATATTGCTCTGTCCAAGCCTGTTAGAACAATTTTCTATAATTTATTTATTTATTTATAATAAAATTGGTTTTCCCGAAAATAGAAAATAATTTGTTAATAGAAGATTACGTCATGGATTGTCGCGAAACATGACATGTAGTGACATGCGATTACGGGATGACAGCTTGCAGGATGCTTTACGAGATATAAACATAGACATTAAGATTCCTGACCAGTAATGAGACTATGAAAAAGGAATGTCGGTGCAAAGCGACCTATCAATTACTAGATACTGCATCATGTAGATGAAAATGAAGCAAATTTTTCTTATCTCCTAGAGCGAATTGGATGGAATGCATTAATTAATACATACTGGTGCGTTGGAGGCGATCTTACACGAAGTGACTTGAAAGCATATATACGTATAAAGTATTACATAATCGGCTCACTAAACCATTTAACGGTTTCTTTTCTAAGCTAATTTGCTGGATCACATTTACTACTTGGCAATTGCACGATTGTTGTTTCTGCTAAACGCAGTTTGTGCACTTTGATAAATTTTATGTACCGAAATATACAACTGAATTTATTAAGGTGTTTAGTTCAAAAAGAGAGAGGGAGAAGAATAGATAGCAAAAAAGAGGAAAAAGAGTTTGCTCCATTTTATTTATATTCGTCACACACACATAAACAAACACACACATACACACACACTCGCTCGATCGCAGGACGTATATCACGTGTATCGTATGTCAAACATATATGTTTTTATAATAGTGTAGCTGTAAATTCTTGGTTCTTTGAATAATAACAAAAACTTGTTTTTATTTGTTAGAAAAAAATAAATCTCTGGATTTCTAAATATTATTAATTGTATTAATAAAATCTATATTAATCTATAGACATCTGTGAAATCAGCAAAAAGAATTATATTTATTTTATATTGAAAGTTCTCTTTTTTTTTTCAGTCTAATTACGAACTCTTAAAAGTCGCTCTAAACCGGACATCCAATAACTAATATCTAATAGCACTTTTCTCTTACTTTTTCATGTTGGGATTACGATAAACCGACGAATTTATGCGTCTTGTTAATGCGAACTGCGAACGAGTATGCAATGTACATCATTATTTCAGAAAGATTCAGTGAAGGTTCAATGCTCGTATCTTCACCGAATTTGTCTAGCGCTAAATATGGCTATCTGATCATCGTCAATCTATCAGATTTTTTTTCATGTCGTGTGTAATATATTATCATAGTAAGACCTACAAATATATTTCAAGTTTGAATCGTTTCGTTCATCTTTCGTCTTTTTAGTCTTAATGAAGCAAAGATAAACGAGTGACTGTATATTATCACGAGTTTTAAAAAATTATGGAATCGAGTAAATCCAGAATTGCGATCTATCGGCGATCTATATACCAAAAACAACCTCAAATTATTTCAATCACGATTGCCTTTCTATTTTCGCGATTAAATGCCGATAAACAAAGAACTGTATTGTTGCTTTTAAGAGTAGCTGGACTACGATTAGTCTCAGTCCGCATCGCGATTGTACATATGTAACTGACGAAAAACGCGCGAACTGGCGAATTTATTTGATTCTTGCATAATCGGTAAGGGAAAATTTTATGTATGTTGTATGTATTTGTCACGAAAGTAATGAGACTGATTTTTTTTAGTACAACATGACAATACCGAGCATTAAAACCGTAGACTAATTCGAATTTTTTCTTTAATTGGAATGTTTTGAAAATATGAAACTGTGCGATTCACAAATTTCTTATTCTTCGTACTTCTTCTCAATCTTTAATCGCTCTTATTTGACATATGCAGAATAAAAATATTTAATCATGTGCACTACAACAGCATTTCCATTTTATATGCGTCGCTAATTCACAGAAAAATCAAACTGTTAAAAATTAATATGAGCATTTGGTTGTAATTTTATTGTAAGATTGACCAAGTTATAAAACTTAAAATCGAATTCTGATTCGCTTTTGATATTTGGTATTGTTTTAAAGGATCGCTTTAAAGGATCAATCTTATTGCTTTTACGACCGACCTCTTGTATGTATCAAAAGTAGGATGGTTGGGAGATACACACTTTCTGCTCCTCTTAACACGATAGAGTTTAATTGCACACTGTAACATTAAAATGATTTTTCATTCTACCGTCAGTATAATTATTAGTATTGTCCATCAGTTAATTATTAGTATTATTATGCTAATTCTTTTGCTAGTGCTAAAACTGTGGATAAGACCGATTAACGTCCAAGTCGTAGACATAAACTGATAGATTCTTTATTATATGTACATGCGTACGTACTCAGCCAATACTGAATCTATCTCTTTACGTTTGTAATCCAAATAGATGCTCGAAATCACAAGATAGCATGATATTCGTTTACGAATGCGAAAGTCAATAATCAGCAACGCATAAAAAAATTAACGAATACTTATGTTCTTATTACATTTATTATTCTACAGTGCGAAATTTGCCCAATCTAAAGAACGTTTTATTTGTTGATTGAATGTAAATATAGGCTTAACACATGTTCTATGTAATTGTTAATGTAATTGTTTTATTATCACAAAATATGATTATTGTATAGTTCTCATTTCTGGCTTCTTTTTATAAATATATGATAAAAAATAAAAAATTTAATAATTCTTTTTTTCATTATACCTACATATATATATGTATGTATGTATGTATATATGTATATGTATAATATGAATAGGCAATCTCAACTCTGCAATTTAATTATTTCTTTCACGATAATCTTTATGTTTACACATGCAAAAATTTATAGTAAGATGGAATGAAAAACTTTCTTTCAAGCATATCTAAAACACGAATATCAAAATGAGATTTTAATTTGTGATATAAAATACTCCTAAAAATTAATGTTTGAAATCTTATAAAAATCATTTTATTTATATATGATTCTGTTATATGAAATGATAAAATTTTTTCATATTGCGAAAAATATTTGTTTTCTCTTTTCAAGATTTTCCATTGAAAGTATAACATTTTAGATCTTGAATTGTAGATTACAAAGTAATATTAAAACAAAGAGAGAGAGAGAGAGAGAGAGAGTGCGTGTGTGTGTGTGTATAAAAAATCTATATAATTAAACAGTGTATTTTTATCTTTCTAATTCGGACAGATTTCACACTGTGCACCTTATGTTTCATCGTGCTTTATTATTGTTAGTAATAATTAAGAATGACAAGACTGTGACGTGGAGAGAAGCGCGAATATCGGGCTGTAATCATCGCGAAAGATAGGAAAAGAAATTAAGCGAGTCAATGACAGAAACGTCTACAAACATCGCGATCGAAAGTATATAATGAAGAGAAAGTCGCAATATATCATATGATGAGACTCAAGCGATACACCGAATAAGTTTTACATACATTTTAACACGTAGTGAACATGACACAACGTTGTTCTATAATTCCACTAAGAAACAGATGGTGTTACATGACCGAGAATTTCAGGATATTTATTTAAGTATTATATATTATAAATACAATTAGCGATATATATTATTTATATATGTATATATGTGTGTATATGTGTGTGAGTATATATATATAAGATCGGAAGAGCA